GGGGCTGCAGGAGAGCTGTGCAGGTCAGCGTGGGGGCTGCAGGAGAGTTGTGCAGGTCAGCGTGGGGGCTGCAGGAGAGCTGTGGCAATTGGGACAGGGTTAGGGAGCTGATAGAGACCCTGACTCCTGACCTCCCAAGGAGGTAGGAGCCTTGGAAAGGATCTCAGCAATAAAGAACTGGGGATGGGGAATGGTGGGGCCAAGACCAGAGTGGGGAGCCTCATGTAGAAACTGATCCTCCTCAGAGAGATGGGGGCAGGGAGCAGCAGGAGGGTTCCCCTAGGACTTGTGCATGCAAAAGGGGCTGTGGCCACCTAAGGAAGAGATGAGGTACTGTCAAGTCCTGGATGACAGAGTAAGCAGGGCTGAGGGGTGGGCTGGGTTGGGCTGCAGGCAGTAGGGGTTGGGAGTCAGGGAAGGAACTTGTGGAGCTACCCGGATGTTGGAAGACAGATGGGCACCCACCATGGATGGTCAGGGCCAGATGTGAGTGAGTCAGAAGGGTGCAGGCAACTCTGACATGGCTTTTGGTAGAAATGGCCTAGAGGGAAGAGGGTCCTGCCAGCTTTGGAAGTAGAGCAGAATGGTCCCTCTCCTGTGACTCAGCCGGAAGCAGGTTTCTGTGCCACCTACCGTCAGGCCCCACTGCCCTGCTTCCTACTTCCTCCCAGTGGTCCCCGGGCAGCCTCTTGGACTCTTGTACCTTTTGTCCCTGACAATGACAGCACCATTTCTACCAGGCCCCTCCTGCAGGAGCTCCCGTTGTTGGGCTGGCTGCCCTACTTTTTGCCTGGGATGGAGCTGCATTGTCTTTCTGGTCTAATGGGGGACAAAGGAGAGGCTACTGGGAAAGGATGCCCTGGCACAGTGGAGACACTCGCCATGTAGAGTGTAGAAGCCAGCAGCTTTGTTCTGTGAGAGTGGCCTGGTTAAGTGGATGAGTGACTGGCTGTCTGGTGGTTTCCCTCCATGTCAGCTCCCCCGGGCTGACCCCCAGAGTGACAGGAGGGTATGGGGTGGCAGGCTGTAGCTACAGCTAACCTGCCCCAGTTTTTTGCTGTGATAAACACCATGAACCAAGGCAGCCTGGGAAGGAGGGCTGTAGCTAGCTTACACGTTACAGTCCATTGCTGACGGAAACCAATGCTGGAAATTAAGGCAGGAACTTGGAGGCAGGAACTGAAGTAGACTATGGAGGAATGCGGCTTGCTGGCTGGCTTTCCATGGCTTGCTTAGCTACCTTTTTCATACATCCCAGGACCACCTACTCAGGGATGGCACCACCCACACTGAGCTGGGCCTTGGCCCTCCCACATAAATCATTAATGAAGAAAAAGCCCCACAACCATACCCACAAGCCAGTCTCATGGAGCCAATTTCTTAGTGAAGGGTCCCTCCTCCCAGGTGACTCTAGTTTGTGTCAAACTAACAAAGCGAATCAGCACACACCCTACCATCTGGCACCCCAAGAGGAAGACTGAGGCTTAGGAGGTGCAAGGGGAGGCAGCCAGGGTATGAAGAAGAAGAGCCAGGCAGTTATGAAGGACCAACACTCTGAAGGTACCACTGGGAAGGGGCTCTGAAGGAGGGAGAAAGGCCCCAGGAGGAAGCTCTCCACAGACAGGGTAAGGCTTCTCAAGAGAGGGACAGGCAAACACAGAGGCACCTGGTGGGGAGAAGGGGGAGACCAGTGGTTGGGGCTCAGAAGAGGACCAAGCTGGGAAGCTCAGTGCCCAGCTCACTCATGGAGCTGGCAGGGAAGGCGGAGCTGGTGGGAAGGCTTTGATCCTGCAGCTGTGGGCTCTGACCCCACCACTAACTGGGGGCCTCCTGGGGCACAGGGCTCCCACCTCACGTGCAGCTCTGCTAAGGCTCACTGGAAATTTCCTCCAGTAATAGTGTGGCCAAGGACATAGATGGCTAAGTGACCCTCACCTTCTACCCTGTCTCATCCACAGGTGACTACTTTGGGATCCTCAAGGAGGCCAGAGTGACCACATTTCCCTTCAACGTGCTAGACAACCCCATGTACTGGGGGAGTACAGCCAACTACCTAGGCTGGGCACTTATGTGAGTACTTGGTGCCCTAAGGACCCCTAGGTGTCCAGACCCAAACTGAACCCTCTTCTACCCTCTCGCCCTGTCACCTCCTGATCTCCCAGGTCTCCCTGATCTGGGAATGGAGCCTTCACCTGAGGGCTAACTAGAGGCACACCTTTACCTGGCCGCAGACGCTGACCCAGGAGGCCTCCCACAGCCTGTCTCCTGCCTCTCAAGTCTCGCTCCCACATATGACTCCCTAGGAGACAGGGCAAGAGACACAGGCCCTGGGCCCCTCTTTCTCCAGTCCTACAACAAGGAGTGGAGGACTCTGGGCTCTGGGCTCCTTGACCCTGGGCTCTGGGTGATCATCTGCCAGCGGGACTGCCTTGTCTACCCTGAGTTGTTAGGAAATCAAGCTGAGCCAAGGTGACAGTGAGTGGCCAGGTTTTCCTGGCGATGGGGGTGACAGGACTGTTCGTGCCCTTATCTCCACTTCCTAACAGGGCTTCAAATGTGCGTTTACCATGGGCCTGGTGTTGCTAGTCGAGGCAGGAGGAGGGGTGTTTGTTCACAGTACCTTGGGTGAACGCAGGGGAAGTTCTTTCAGAGTCTCCCACAAGTCTTTGGTTGGGGTCACTGCAGTGACTGTTGTAGGCAATTAAAGACTTGCTTCATTTAGGAATCATGACAGCAGGTCAAGGCCAATGAGGCCACAGTGGGGAAACTGAGGCTGAAGACTGAGTTCACCTCAGACCATATAGTAAACATGGGGCAGAGATGGCCTTGGTGCTTAAGTTCCTGGCTCCAAAGCCTCAGGTCTGCTTGCTTTTCGTGTGTCGGTAGTGAGCTGTAGGGTCATGCTCACTGCCAGTTTGGTGTTGAGGGCTCTCAACACACCAAGACCAAGGTCTCATTCATCAGTCCTCTTCCAAGGCCTTCCCTGACCCACAAAACCTCTTGTAGCCAGAACCACAGCTGAACCCTGGCTAGGGACAAAGTGCCTGTTTAGCCAGGACAGAGGGAAAAACATGGCTATTGTTCCCCCTCAGGCCATGACACAGACATCAAGACCTGTTCCAAGTTCCAAGTTGAAAGGAACAGCAAGGGCAGCTCCTAGTTTCAAGCCCAGCTAAGTTCTAGGGGGAGGCAAACATTGAAGGCGAAGTTCAGCTCAGGGCCTGGGGCAGTGGCAGAGGTGGTCAGAGCGTGAGAGCACATGAGCCCCACAGATGTTCTGCGCTGCGCAGTAAGGGCTCCTGTGTCCCTGCCCCTCCCAGACAGACTGGCCAATGTGAGGTCCAAGTGGGCATTAGGGAGTGAGCAAGGCAGAGAGTCCTGTCGGGCACACACACTCTTATGCCCTCTGCCCTTGGGGAATGTGTGATGGGGGTACAGAGCAGATTCCTCCTGTAACCCAAGGCTTGTTCCCGTCCTTTCTGGTTTGTTCCCTTCCTACTGAAGTGGATGCAGCAGTCCAGGCCCCTGCAGGAGCCAGTGGAGCCAGAGGTAACCATAGAAATAGCCTGGGGGGCAGCTCAACAGCAGCTATTTCTGGAAACCCGAGGCAGGCAAGCTTGGGCTCCTCCCTGCTGTCACTAACAAGCTGTCTGCATTCATCGGCAGAGTGAGGTCAGAGACTGGTCACCTGCAGAGAGCCATAACAGATACTCTGTGTACATTCTGCTGAGGACTTCGGTCCTCTGGGCTGTAACTGCTAGGGTGTTGGAAGAACAGCTCAGGGCCCGGGACACAGCAGAGGTGGTAGCTGTACTGCAAGGGCGGGTAGGCCTGAGTTCTGCGCTGTGCAATGGAGGGGTCCTGTGTCCCTGCCCTTCCCAGACAGAAACAGACTGCCCAGTGTGAGGTCCAAGTGGGCATTAGGGAGTGAGCATAGCAGAGGGTTAGTGTGAGAATGCTGGCTCTGGGGGAAAGGTCTTGCTGTGGGAAGACTATCCTTACCATAGCCAGGGCCACCCCAGATGGTGGCTGTGGGCTGCACCTCTGTACAGCAGAGCTCAGATGGCAGAACTTGCCCATGAGGCCATGTGCTCACGACAGCCCTGGGTTGGCTTTTTACAAGAGACTTATTTTCTAAGAACACTGTCTGGTGGCCAGTGAGAATGTTCCCTGTCCCTGAGTCTTGGTCTCAGCAGGCTAGGAAGCAGGGACTGCCTGACAAGGTGTCCTTCCTCCCCTCCTGTCTCTGTGATCCTCTCTAGAAAAATCAGACTTAGGAAGAGGCACCTCCAGGCTTAGTTCATCCCGAGGGATCCCAGCATCAACCGAGGACCCACCCACCCACTATGTTGGCAGGAGTGTCTAAGTTCTTCCAACTGATGTTCTGTCTGTCTGCAGGCATGCCAGTCCCACAGGCCTGCTGCTGACAGTGCTGGTGGCGCTTGTCTACGTGGTGGCTCTCCTGTATGAAGAGTGAGTAGAGCCCTGCTGGAGTGGGAGATGGATGTGATGGCCAAGTTAGACCAAGCCTCATTTAGAACGGCTTCATGTGGCCCGGCAAGCTTTACCAGGCTGCTGCCCGTCTGGCTGAAGAGACTGGGGTAGAGAGGGCAATGCCTGGTACCTGAGACCAAGGCAGACAGGCAGGTGGCGCTGGTCCCTCCAGGCCCCTCTTGCTCTTTGAAGCCTCTGGGAAAGTTGTGGGAGACAATGGGAATGTGGATCCTCTCCTCACTGGTGGAGCAGGTTCTGGTGCTGGGGTGCAGTAGAGACCTGGAACAGCCTTTTCCTGTCCACAGGCCCTTCACTGCTGAGATCTACCGACAGAAAGCCACCAGGTTGCACAAAAGGAGCTGATGGGACCATGGGGGATCTGTGGAAAGCCGGACTGGCCTCCCGGCTGCCCCAGGCATCAACCATTTTGGGGGAAAACAGCGCTGGCCACTGCATCTGTGCCTTGGAAACCAGTCATGGAGACCCCGGGCGTTATGCCCTATGACCACCGAGTCTCCCATCCTCATTACGCCCCAACACACTAATAAAGGCATTGTGACCTCAGCACCTCTGTGGGCCCCTTTCCATCTGGTCCCAGGAGGGAGGGCAGGGCATTGGATTCTAGGCTGTAGAAGGGCAAGGCAAGCACTTCGTCCCTTGAGGGCTCTGGGGCAGACTGGTTTGGCCCTTTCTCTCCCAGGCAGCCTTCTGATGCTAAGATTCACTGTGAACTGTCTCTCAAAAAGACCTCAGCAATAGGACTGACTGCAGCCACAGCCTTTCCTGGGCAACTGACACCCTGGATCACCTGCTATCCATGCCCCAGCCCTTGAAGGACATTCATGCCCTCACGCCGGGAGACCCCGTTCAACATCCACCAGCCTGAGGGTGGAGGTCTATCAGGTTAATTGACACTGTCATTCCACCTAGATTGTCACCCAAAGGCAGGATGTAGTGGAAACCCCTGTGTCCATCTGAGCTGGTCAAATTCAGCTGGAAAGATGGTGTAGGCAGGGCACAAATGACCAAGAAAGTGTGATCAGAAGTTGACGCTGGGGCACCAGAGGACACCAAAGGACTGCCTGGCACTGTGTAGCCAATTAGAGCTGGATCTACCCAGATGGCTTAGGAGTACCTAAGCTTGCTAGACTTTGGGGTGATTATCCCAACTCACCAGAGGCCCTCAACCCCTTTAGTCTCAGCTGCATTCCTTAGTCGGGGCTCTTCACTGGCCCAGAAAACCTTACAAAATTTGAGGGTCCAAATGATCAGCTTATGCCCATTCCAGCCCAAGGCTATACAGCCGTAGGGACTCATTGGCCAATATCTAAGTGCTGGCCTCACCTGACATCCTGTTATCGTCACCCGGGTCCCTGGCCAAGGCTTGCATGGGCTTTTGCAAGTGCCCTGGGCCTACCATCTCTGTGCACAGGTCTCCTGGCTCACATTTCCAGACCTTCTGAGGAAGCCTGGGTTTTTCTTCCCAGCCCCAGGCCAGAACATCGGCTGGAGCCCAGGTTAGGCAGACAAGGATGGCACCTATTATTAGTGTGGCCTCAGAGTCTTGTTGCCCTGGGCCCTTGACAGGGTCTAAGGCTGTCACCCTGAGCCCCTCCCCTCCCCCACACACCTCTGGAGGATGGAAAGTGTCAAGACCACTGAAGCAATCAATCTTTACCTGTGTCCTCACTACAGATAGGTCCCATGCAGGTCCCATTCCACAGCCCTGGCAAATGTCCTAGTAAGGCCAGGCCAGAGAAACATTGGGCCCGTTGGTACCAAATAGAGCAGAGATGGCTCCCTTTGCCAATGCTGTCCCCTTATCCAG